CTAACAGGTTGCAGAATAATACAAGTTCAGTATAGAAGACAGATACCAGCACTGAATGCAGCTTAAGCATTGAAGATAAGAGTAGTTCTTTGCCTGCTTTAATAAAATCTATTTAGAATGAATGAAAAAGGGTAAAAAAAAAGGTAAATTATTCAGAGCTTGACCTAAAGCATCTGGCTGAAAACTAATTTGCTAATTGTTAAAGATTTACACCGTTGAACAAAGATTATTTAAAACGGTGATTCACAACAAATAACATACTGAATTTAATTTGGGTACAAGCTATCATTGGGAAGTCTTGTACGCGGTATAGGCGTCTGTGGGGCTGCAGCTTCAATGTCTTTATTTGCTTATTGACAATACGAAGGGAGATAGTGAATAATATTAATCACTGGACCTTTCCTGACCCTTCCTTCAGTGAGGTGATCATGTCTAATGAAAATTCAAGCTGTGCTCATAAACGGAGATTGGCAAAAGAGTCACTTTTTCTTTGCCTGACTGGATAAATTTGCCGCTGGTTTTGGAATCAATTCTTGTGTGTGTCAAATTAAAAGGTGTTATTTTTAAATGCTCCTGAATGTATATGAAAGAATTTAGTCACCTGAAATACCATGGCCAAGAAATGAAAAAGATGCAAGGCTATGAGCCGTACACTTAGAGAATCAAATTAATGTTCCTGCTTAATATCTTGCCTTCATCCCTTTTTTAAAAACTCTGGCAGTTCTTCTGCGTGTAAATGTTGCTACCCTTTTTTACAGGTTCCTGTTATCACAAAGCACTATGTCCAGTTTAAGACTGACTCAAACCAGCTATAGTTGCTGGTTAGATTTCTTGCCAGGCTTGGAACTATTTCTTCTGTTTTTATGTTCATTTTTAACAGAAGTAATTTATAAATTATATTTTTTTCTATTTATAAAATAGGAAAATGGAACATATAGCTATATATTTTCTCATGTTTCTGGAATTCTAAAAAGGCTTTAGGAACAGACTGTTCTGTTCTTCATTCATTCCTTGTGCTTTGATCTGTGTATGCATGCTGGTGAGAAAACCATTGTCAGTATCCAGGAGGAAGGCAGACAGCTAAAGCCCAGCAGCTTCCCCACATGCACAATGCCTGTGGCATGAATGGTTCTGGGGGAGGGCTTAGAAGTAGCACAAGGCACAGTCACATCTATTGTGCCTCTTTTTCTGAGGGCAGCAAACCTTCCTGTACCAACCAGACCCTGCTGACTGCTATGTCTACGCAGCATAAACCCTGAATTCAATAAGATAACAGCTGTTTATCACAGTGCTTTTTATCTGGGAGGCAAAGTCTAAAATTGTATCTGACCTCTGTATGCACAGAGACGCCAAGTGATGAGTGCTTTGCCTAGATCCTCAGAGGTTTTAGATGAAATCAGTAAGAGTGTGGTACCTAAATGAATACTTCTGAGGATAATAGCTTCTGTGTCTTTTGCCCATGTGTGGTACAAGGTACATTCTGAACAGTAGTTTATCAAATGATAGATTGTGAGCCTTACAAAACACAACAGGATTTGAGCATTAGTTTTTCCCAAATAGGATTACTCATATAAAAAACTAAGTCACTCCCTGTACGAATAAACTCATATAATTAAGTAAACTAGTTGTGGTACAGGTTTATTTATAGGTCAAGCTTCTGGTTGCCTTAGGTCAATGATTTTCAGCAACAAAGAACTATAAGACTAGATTTTCTTAATGATGCTAATAGGCTATGTATAACAAAAGGTAAAGAAACACATACTGGTCTGTTGACTATGTGTGTGCATCCATCTTTGCATGTATACATTTCTGCATAGCACAAGCCCAGCAAAGCAGATCAAACCCACATGCTACATGTCCAGACAAATAATCTTTTTGAGCTTTGTTAAGGCAGCTGAATGAGTTCTCATTTTTCTTCTATACTGGGGGTTTCCTTGCTTGCCCAGTCATTTGTTTAGATTTCAATGGGAAAATAACAAACAAAGCTAAAACGCCACACTACAAAATTAAATGAATTGGAATTCTGTTCTTCCATGAAAAGACTTGAAATAAGATTTAAATTAGTGTGTGCTTGGTAAAACATGGCAATTTAATATCTGTTCCATAAAACTGACAACCGCAGCTAGTTGTTTTTCTTCTCAATTTGATCAGATAGTTTGATCAATGAATCCTAGAGTGATTTGGGTTGGAAGGGACCTTAGAGATCATCCTCTTCCCCCCCTCCTGCCATTGGCAGGGACACATTCCAGTAGACCAGATTGTTCAAAGCCCTGTCCAACTTGGCCTTGGACATTTCCAGGGATTGGGCAGCCACAGCTTCTCTGGGCAACCTGTGCCAGGGTCTGTTGACTATGTGTGTGCATCCATCTTTGCATGTATACATTTCTGCATAGCACAAGCCCAGCAAAGCAGATCAAACCCACATGCTACATGTCCAGACAAATAATCTTTTTGAGCTTTGTTAAGGCAGCTGAATGAGTTCTCATTTTTCTTCTATACTGGGGGTTTCCTTGCTTGCCCAGTCATTTGTTTAGATTTCAATGGGAAAATAACAAACAAAGCTAAAACGCCACACTACAAAATTAAATGAATTGGAATTCTGTTCTTCCATGAAAAGAAATAAGATTTAAATTAGTGTGTGCTTGGTAAAACATGGCAATTTAATATCTGTTCCATAAAACTGACAACCGCAGCTAGTTGTTTTTCTTCTCAATTTGATCAGATAGTTTGATCAATGAATCCTAGAGTGATTTGGGTTGGAAGGGACCTTAGAGATCATCCTCTTCCACCCCTCCTGCCATTGGCAGGGACACATTCCAGTAGACCAGATTGTTCAAAGCCCTGTCCAACTTGGCCTTGGACATTTCCAGGGATTGGGCAGCCACAGCTTCTCTGGGCAACCTGTGCCAGTGTCTCACCACCCTCATAGTGGAACTTGGAGAATATCTAACATTTACACAATCAGACTGAGATTTGTTCAGACAATTACAACAGTGAAGGAAACTTAATTAGTTTTGTCAGCAAATATAAAGGCACCAACTTGCATTTCCAGAAACTGTCCAAAGCTTTCACAAATATGCTGATTCAGCTAAAATCAGCCTAATAATATGTTTGGCTGAAAAAAAATTCCTCATTAAAAAAACATTATTTGGGTTATAATGTCCAAACCTGAAAAGATAGCAAATACTGCAATTAATAAGCAATTGGATTGACAAGCTAGTATATAGATTATTATATTAATTATATGACTGTAAAATTTGCTCCACAGACCTCCAGAGCTGTTCAATATTTCACCTACTAAATATCTTTTTTAGACCCACTGTGTGGATGTGGTGTTTACTGTACTTTATTCAAATTCCACTGCAGAGAATCACATTGATTTCCTTTTCTATTTTTTTTTTTTTTTGTGGTTCCTGTCACTAAAACCAATATCTCAGTGCTTCACAAACCCTAATGCTTATTTTGCCGGCACCCAGGGTAAGGTACAGGGGTGATGACAACCTCCTTCTGTATAAGGGATGCAAGGCAGACGGAGATCTTATGATTTCTGAGTGCCTTGTTTCTGGGATACCTATGATCTGATTTTTTGAAATATTAACAGTTTGAAACACTATGCTTGTTTTCTGCTGCAACTATAAGTGCTCAATAATTCTGTGACTCAAAACTCAAGTGCAGTCATCCAGAAAATGAGAATACAGTTAACGACCACACGTGAAAAATATGGTTTAAATAATCTGCTAAATATAAACAGGAGCTTTCAGACAGAAGCTGAGGAAGTCCGATTTTCTAGGGTAACATTTAACTGCATTGCCCATGCAAACTTCCTTTCTCTTCATACACTATCTTTAATGCTAATTGGCTAATTATCGCAATCTTTCCTGAAATTCTTTATTGCTTTTCTTTCCACATATATTTGCTGAATTATCACAAGTACAGATTTTCTACTTCAGAGGTATCATCCCTTGGACAGCCAGCAGTAATATCAAGCTTTATTGTTTGTTTTAACATTTATGATACAAGGTTGGCATTTTTTTTGAACATTTAGAGCATTTGTGTGGCTATATGGACAATTTTAAAATATCTGGCTGATCAGTGTCAATAATTACATTCTCTCTTGTGTTTCTCAGTCTTAAAAATCAAAAGCAAGCTCTTGTAGAACTGTGTCTTTAATGTGTGTAAGAATGCAGAGAGACAGGGAGAAAAGGTGAAAGAAAAACATGAGAGGACTCTCTAGAGTTTCTGGAGGTAGTTGATCAAAACAGTTATAAAGAATAAATCTTAAGAATTTACTACAAAAGAAATTTGCAATAAATGTCTAATCCTGTATATACCAATGTGGTGTTTCCACTCACTTTTTACAAGACCTGTTAACCAGAAAAGAAGCTAAATATACAACTAAGCATTGAAACAACATCTGCTGTAGCAATATTTACACAAAATTTCAGCTCTTTTTTTTAAGGAGGTTATAAGTACACCTCCATTTTTTTTAACCTTTAGCTTTTGTCTAGTTTTCACTAATTATAACAGGTAATGAGCCAGTGTTTTGCAATTTTGTTGTCCAGGGACAGAGTTTTAAGGTATGAAAGCATAGTTAAATTACTTAACAAGTTGAAGTTTACTACAGAAAAAGTGAACATGCAGAGAAATCACCTTCTGTCTTTTAGTAAAAATTTTAAATTAGAGTTAATATACTGATGTTTTACTATACAAAACTTATTTGACAGTTGGCAAGACACGCATATTTATGTATTTCAGTGAGAGCTCTTCCAGGCATTAGCAAGAGAAAGAGAGGACACTGAAGGCATATTGAAATAAACAGGACAGCACAGTCAATTTAATGTCCTCATCTAGGAGTCTCCGAAAAGGTTCAGACACCATGGCATTCTTACACCTCATGGAGTGTTTTGCTCATTTTCTGCTCTTAAGTAGCTGCACGTGATAACATAGAGACACAGAGGCAGCAAAGCTGCAGAAGAGGGGCGACTCTCAGAGTTACTTACGTTGACAGCCCAAGCTGTGCCAGATATATCCCGGCAGACATTTATCACATTTAGGCCCTGATGTTCCCTCCTTACACTCACAAAATCCTCTGTCATTACAGCGATCATGGACTGAACCAAAAGGGTTACAATAACAGTCTGCAGAAACAAGACAACACATACACACTGGATTCAGGTCTACATATGGTGATAATTCATTCAATACCAATAAAGGGTGCATTTCCAGTGCTAAAGGAAGACTGTCTATTAAGGATATCTAGTGTAGTGAATATATCTACTAAATGCCCATTTATTTGTTTCCATATGTCATTTCAGGAAGAGACCTTTTATGATGTAAAGAGAAAAAGCAAACAGAAAAGATATAAAGGCAGAAGATACCATGGACTTTGAGGATAAGTGATTGTAATAGATTCTCTTTTGGTAAGAATATTTTCAACAATTTAATGAAGATTAGAATAGCCTTGTATAGTACGGATATATCAATGTGTCATCAGGGTGAAATGTTTCGCATTATTAAAATAGGTTTATCTGTATTATTCAATAGATTCAGAAGTGCTGAATGTCTTTACAGGGCTATATAAATGCACTTTACTAATTTCCAAGATAGTCTTCCTTTATAGTTTTAAGCAGTATAATTTGTGTGGATATTTGCCATTAAATTGATGAGGTTTTATTTATCAGTGACATTAATAAACCTTTTCCATATTCCACAATGAATAGCTTGAGGTGAGCACCAATGTAATGCAAAACTTATCAGAACTGGCTTTACACTGCCATTTCATTTCTCTCACTTCCCAGTGGGCAGATGGAAAATGCAATGAGACTCATTGCCTGCTGTATATTTTCTACGTGTGTTCAACTAATTAAAGAATGACTAGGGTAACCCATTTCCTCCCACAACACTTACTGTGTTGTTCATTCACAGCCCTTTTCTTTACTGTGATTACAATATCCCTGTTCAGCTTTTGGCTAGCTGAACAAAGACAAGAAGATTGTAGCAGAAAGAGCTCATTTTTGACACTCCTGTTCTTCAGTTTATTTTTATATATATATATTTTTAATGAAGGGCTGTATCTTATTTGTATGTAGACCCATGTAGACCCAGAGTAACTCCACTGTCAACTGAGACCACAGGCACATTTTGGCAGCATCTGATCTCTGCTGCTAGTGAAGGCAAAAGATACACAAATCGATGCCTGAATCTGGGCAACCTGCTGGGAGTCTGGCTTTGTATGTCTGTGAATCAGTGCAACTTTGATGACTGCCTTTGGCAGTTGTACCCCAGCATTAGGTTAAACCTGCGCGGTGTTGTAAATAACAAAATGGAGTTTAATTGGGAAGTAAAAAATATATTTATAAAAAAAAATTCAATGGAAAAACTGCAACAGGAAACAAATTACCAGGAATACATTTGTCATCTGTTGTCTCAGTGTTTATTAACTAAAAATTACAGATGGCACTTTGAACATTTGGTATGCTGAAGAAGAATAGTTACCTTTGGCAAATAGAGTTCCACAATAATAACAGTCAATTAGCTAGCATCATTCATTAATGAAGTTGAAAACTGACACGCCAAAAATACTGTGCAAGACTGAGCAGAATTATGGCACAGTGAGTGCCATTTGAAAAGCTGGCATTTCTGATGTTAATCAGATGTATGAAGTGTTTATGTAAACAGGCACAGAACTGAGATACATATTGAATACAGGAAGCAAAATTTGCTTCAGGAATGTTTATAGAAAACCTCGAAAGACAAAAAGGCTGGAATTATATTAGAAAAAGGGCCCAATTCGTGTATATTAAAAATAGCTTAGTTGGACATAATGGAGTTACAGTGATTTAAAAACGTGTGAAAGAAATGTATGGCCTGTGATCTGAATATTACAGATACATAATGGTATATTTTCCAGAGAACAAAACCTGATCCTGAACCAGTCAAAGCTTTCCTACTGAACTCTATCATATAAATACATAAACAGTACCAGGCCCATATTGTGCTGTTTGAGGGAAAGTAGATAGTGGAAACAAAACTTTAAGCTAGGCCCTATTATAAAAGTAGCAGATAAAATCACAACAAGAAACAGACCCAGTAACCTTTAGCAACTGAATCTATCCTCCACCTTGCCCAATACACAATTGATAGCACAGATATATAACCTACAGAGGTCCACTGAACATCCAAGCTCATTGTCCAACACAGTATTACGGGCTGTGGAACACTTCCTAAGGCCTGCCAAATACTTAAGACATTAAAAAGCTCAAAAGCCAAAATTCCAGTGTGCCACTGGGAGGCAATGAGCATCTCCAATGCCCTTACAACAACAGGGCATTCAGTAACGTTAAATTAACATTCCCAGATCATACCGATAAGCAGACCACACACCAGTTTCCAGGGTGGGGAAAAAAAGCTCTGCTGGGAAGGAATTTTCTTCCTAACCTCCATCTGGTGATTGATGGTTTGAAATATGGGAAGATGACAGTAGTAGTCATCTGTTCAGTGAGATCCACAATATTAATGTGATGTTGCCAACAAAACACAATGAAAATAAGTCAAAAAGCAGGTTGGAAAGTGGGCTGAAGCTTGAAGGCTTGCTGCTTATCAGTCTGGGTTGACAGTGGCTACAGGAAAACCCTCAGGGTTCACTCAACTGTATATCCTTTGGGTTTCTAAAGGTCTCAGAGGTGTTAATTGAAGCTTAAGCCTAAATGACTGCAAAGTTGACTTTCTTGTGTGATGATAATTACTGTTTCATTATTTATATTGTAAGGCAAAGGAAATATTTTATTACTCTGGGTCTACTTGGAGGTTTCCATGCTATTCATGCTTGCCAGTGTGAGTATTAACTGAAATACGGGTTATTAGAGGGCTTTATCAAGACCACGTAGAAATAAGAAGATTCAGTTGTTAAATTCTTTTTCACAATAAGCATGTCGAGTGAATGATTTTTAATGTTAAAATACTTTGATTTATTTAGAAATTGGGGTTGCCAATATAAGGTAATTTTGCAATTAACTGGCAAAACCACAGATTTTTGCTATTTCATTTTAGGAAAGACAATTTATTTTGCTTCTAAAGAAATTAAGGGCATAATGAAATTAGATGTAAGCCCACTGCATAATGTGTTGTATTTGGTTCACTGGCAAAAACCTTCTCAGTATTTAAATTCTTTGTAACTTGTCAGTTTAAAAAATGAAACATTTTACTTTTTCTCCATTTAGTTAGCATCAGCTGTGATTCACAGATTTGTTATCCATGTACTTACCACATATATTTATGAAAACTATGTAAGCAGTTTTGATAAATCAGAGCAAAAGCCCTGTTAGCTGCCATTAAATTAGCTTATTCAAACAGTTTCTACTTTTCTACATACATGGCTGAAGAGGAGAGAATTATCCTGGAAAAAATGACTTTTGTATGGGAATAAGACTTGCATATGTCACTGGAAATCTGCTTATTAAAATATTCATGCCAACATTTCACTCATACTTAAAACCCAAAACGCTGCTTTTAAATTCAGAGAAAAAAGAAATGAGCATTTCCAATAGAGCAAGACTCTTTGTGCTTGACCTAGAAGGATGGTGAATCCATCAAATCTCTCAGAGGTGAAAATATTCTACATTTTGCCTGATTAAATCCTAGAAGCCCCAGTTCAGGAAAGCACTCTAAGCAAACCTTTCTGGTTTCTGAAAAGTGCTTAGGTATCTGCTTCAATTCACTGACTTTAAACTAGTAGTATTGTTAAAGTCTTCTCAAGCTGGCGAATCAGCTAGGATACATATATTTTGTATGTAGTATGATCATTATGATCCTGAAAACTGTCTTAATCCAACAAGAATATTATTTATTTAAAACAAATTACCTAATATGTAACAAACCACGGTTTGATACTATAATCATCTCACATAGCACAGTTCTTGTGGGAGCGCAAGAAAATTCTACTCGCATTAAGGTAGGAAAGTCAGCAAATACATCACGTTAGCTTTATATTTTTTTTTTAACATAAAAAAAGACTTGTTAAATGAAAGGTTTTTTCATTTTATTTCTGCAGAGTCTGGGCAATTTTAAGGTACACGGTTTTTTTACTAAGACATTCTGAATACATCACTTCAAAATTAATCTAAAGTTCACTGATTTTTGATTCCTGGATTATTAACTTCCTTCTCTTACGTAGCTACAGCTACTGTCTTAACATTTCAGTGTACATGGGAAAACAACTTACTGAATAAGCTGATGAAAAATCCCAAATAGAGTAATTTAGTGTCATATTCATTAGGCCTATTTAGGCAGCTGAAATTACGCAGCCCTGATGATATACTGGTGATGTTCATCATCTACATCCAACAAATATGAGGGACAGCAGGTTTTTTCCAAGAAAATTTGATTGGGTTAATCTCCTCAGCACAGTCATACAAAATCATGACTTGCCTACTAAAGTTCTTATTAGCTCAGACTAATTAACGTCAAAGGAGATCATGCATTTTCTGAATGCATTGCCAAGGAAAGTTAAAAGAAAGACACGTGAAATGCAGTGTGTGGATGGATCTGTGTGTTTATCACAAAATAAAATGTAAATCTGTCAAGCTGCAGACTGAAATAAATAATAGCAACCTAAATAGTTTCTGGCTTGAATCTCAGCAATGGATTATAAACAATATTAAAATATAATGTATTCACTCATAGTCTATTTTGGCATGAAAATATCTTATAAATACTCTTTCTTTTTGCTTCCTGGAAATGGAAAGAAAAAGAAAATTCACAATGAAAATCCAGAACGGGTTCTACGAATTCTTATGTCTATAAGAGACATTACAGAATGAAATTTTCTACCTCTGTTATTAAAGCAGTGTCTTTTGTGCTGCCTGTTAACTACTGCCCATTGTATGAGGCTTCCTTTATTGACTATGTTCAGACTTCACCTAAAGCGTCCTATCTTTTGCTATATACTGTCTGTGGTGACATAAGAACAATGCATATTCTAGTGTGATAGAGATCTTTTTCTAATATTCTTTTCTTACTACATTTTGACATTTTCTTTAATTCTGCATTTTGGGTATTTATAGCAGATGTTGGGTCTAAAGAACCGTTTTCACTTAGGAATCCTTTTTCTAAGTTGACATCATGTCAAACTGATTTGACAAATTTTGCTCGTAACCATAATTTCAATTGGACATAATTTCAATGGCCATAATTTCAATTTCTCCTGTAAGGAGAGGGGAGGTAACACTGCATTTACAGGCCTGTGCCTGCGAGCAGAATTAGCTGCAACATGTTTTTATGAAGTGAATAAAAGCGATTCATAAGTACCACTTCCTATGTCCTCTTGATGCAGCTGGTGACTTTTGTAGGTCTCCAAGCAAATAATCAAGAGTCTGTACTAATAATTCCAAAAGTTAAACTGGGAACAGGTATTTTTGACTCAACCCTTCATTTTTCACATGTGCAACTCCACCAT